TCGAGAGAAGGATGGTTTTTTGTGGAAGAAAATTATAATAAAAATCGTACATGTGCTGTTCGCATACGATAGTAGTGAAACGAACCTACAAAAATGTGAACACGTTAAAGTTCTTCATAACTAGATACATACATCGCTTATTCCACCGGTCTAAATTCAGACGTTCTAAATCATTCAGTAACTAATTCAGTCAAATGATGTGGCATTTAGGAAGTTAGGATCCTAATTAGCATACTAAATCGGAAGAAGTGTGGTTTCTGACTGACTAAATCATTTAGTAATTCGAACTAATCTAATTAGAACGTGACTTAGGAAGGTGTAATAGCGTTTAGATGCTTCAGTCGCACCGCAGGTGTCACTGTGAGGGCGTGTTGTGTCTACAATTACGAATTACGCGAGTGTGCGATGTCGGCGGTAAAAGAAAAAGAAGTTATGAGTAACATAATCGAATTGTATAAACATATGCCGTATCTTTGGAACAAAAATAATATTAATATTCTTTCATCCACGTTTTTCGTTTTTTACTTTATTTTATTTCTATTGAGCCAACGGCCAGGTCTACGAGAATACTAATTTTTTGTTACTTTGACAGGACTGGAGCTATTACGAAAGAGTCTAACTGAATTCGCCCTGCGCTTGCAACTGACTGAATCAGTAACTAAATTAGTCAAGTGTAATCAGAAGCCTCTAATTATCCCAACCCTAGTTGGGACGTCCTAAGTCTGAATTTAGTCAGGTGGAATAAGCGCTTTAGTCTTAAAGACAGCATCTGTTTTAAAATTCAACTGTCTAGGTTAAAATTAAATATTTTATACTACTTAAATTAACTTGAAATATGAATAATAGCTTAAAAAAAGAAATGGCCACCACCAAAAGGCTGTGTAATTTTACTGTGATATTCTGTAAGGTAGTTGGTTCCCCAGACGAACGCTCCAATTCGACCGCAGAATCCCCTGTGCTCCTTAGTAGTACTTACGTCTCGTAGTGACTATAATATTTATTACGAGATACAGCGTCGCTGACAGACGGAGGCACATCGGCGGCTTTTGCTATAGGGTAGCGTTGTCGTCACAGAACACGGAAACCTCTTTCTATGTTATTTTTTCTTTTGCGATAGTCAGTTGTCAAAAGAACCATAGGTGTCAATTGAAAATCAGCGTCAGGTCCCACAAACTTGACAACATGCTGAATTGACAACCTGTTTTGACGCAGCCGCGAGGTAGCAACAGAATAAATCACCGGTGGTAACGACAGTTATGAAAAATTGTGTGTGTTACTTTTTGGAGTTTACTCCTTAAAAATCGATTTGCATATATAAGGGGCCCGGTATGAGAAAAATGTGAGGAGTAAAATCTATCGATGAATGACCTCGTTACGTTTTTGGTGCGCATCCTATGTCGCGCAACTTTGACAAACAAAGATGACGGATTGACATTAAAAATATTTTTTAAAATCGGAACTGTATTTGGGTCAGGCCGCCATTTTTTGCTGATATGGCGCAGAAGTATTGTGTTGGTGGCGTAGAAACTTCTACGCGTCGGTGACGTTGAGTAGCGTATAATAGTGACGAATAAATGTTAAGGTTGGCATACGCATGCCAAAATATTAAGATTAAATTATGTTGTATAACGTAATTGCACCAATTATGGACACTTTAAGGATGAAAAGGTGGGTTTTTGCAGTATTATTCCTAATATATCAGGATTTTGTTTAAACATCAATGTTGAGCTTAATGTCCGTCTTTTTTCCTTTATGCTTATGCCGAAAAAGTTAGAAATAACCGCATAAAAATGAGAGATATTATTAAAATATAAACACGGTTTTTTAAGCTAGTAATGGACAAGGAAAATCATTTAATGGACATCCAGTGATGAACATGCACCAAATAGGGACATCTAATAATGAACACAATTTAATAGTGGACCCCACTAATGGACCAGCTCGTTGAATTTAGAATAAGAAGTAGTTCCATATATCTAAGTAAATAAAAACATCAACAATTTTATAATCAACTAGAAATTTATTATATTTTTATTTTTTAAAGCATTTATTTGCTAGATTTTAAATCTAAAGAAAATTTTTACTAAAAAAAATTCCACGCGGTCCAGGCAGCAGACGGGACTCGAAACTGCACCCTCCGCTATCCGGGCAGATGCACTGACCATTATGTTACCGTGATCTATGCCTTGCAGCCTAAGAAATACAAGCTGAAATTACACGAATGGGTTTAGTTAGTATACATACATACACTCTCGAAAAACATTACCCTCCTTTCTTCGGCAGTCAGGTAAAAAGTTAGTATAATAAAAACAAGTGGATACCTACCTTAATTTGGTGGCGTAGAGGAGGTGACGAATATCTACGCTACCGTTGGCGTTGAAGTACCAAAATGGTGGCGTATTTCTACTTCTACGCTATCGTCGCGTTGAGAAAACCACTTATATCTCTGTAAATAAAGTATGATTTGAATTGCATTATAGCTCCAAACATGGCTTTCACTTCTACTAACAAGATGCACTATTTGTTTTTCGTGTAACAATCAAACTTACTTTTTTATGCACAAAAATCTTACCTTGAAAAAATTGTGTACACAAACTACACCAGACGTTCACATGTCAACTGTCAAAAATATAGCCGCTCATCAAGCCCAAGCCGCTGTCCACAGATTACAGAAACTCAGTGTTGCCACTTCCCGATTTGAACTTCACCGATTCCTAAAGTTTAATAGAACATGGAGAATAGGTGGCGTTGACAAAAGTGGCGTATAAGTACAGTTTTTGACGAAAACTTATTTGAAATCATTTTCAAGGAAATTCTTAGGATAAACGTTGCTAAATTAAAACCACGGATAGCTATTAATATAAGTATTCTTAAGTATCAGCCATGTCTCAAAAACTGACATACTTTTTGCTACTACGATAGTTAAAGTGCACCTCTCCCTCGGGGGATAGAAGTTTTTATGTAATTTTACTACCTTTTTTCAGATTTCATTCGAAATATATTTTTTGTTTATTATCTGACCTGAAATAATCATAATGTCCACTTGAGTCACTTTGTTGCTTAATCCAAAGCCGTCATCGAAAATCCGATATCTATAATACTTTTCAAAATACTGACCGCGGAGAAAACAGTTTTCAAAATCAGCAAAAAATGGCGGCCTGACCCATTTAGATATTGTTTCTGATAGAGCAATGGGGACAACGAGGTATGGTCAACCATTGATGCGGTATTTTCAAGATTCGTGAACCACGTATCTACGAACGTCCATGTGTCTTATTTTAGTTACCATAAACCACTTGTCACTGTAATTAATAATGCAGACAATGTTGATTTAATTAATATTTTAAAAAATGATAATAGTCTGATAATAGTAATTACATAATTTATCAACATTCCTAATGATATATTTATGCACATCTGAAATTGACTATTGTAAAAAGATTAATGTAAAATATTTCGTCGATTAGTTATAATAAATGTATATGAAATGAATACATATATTTTCCTTAATTTGTTAATTTAACTTTTCATACAGTATTAATCTTTTTTAAGTTAAATAAACTCTTTTTGCGTCTGTTAGTTAGACTATCGAACTTATGGAGTAAACTCCAGTCGTGCGTCGGAGCTGACACACACAATTTTTTTGTGTTGTTATCCTATTGTTTACGGTGATTTTTCTACTTTTCTTTTTTTTTGTTACTCAAAATCTTGTCTTTACTGTCTCGTTGTTTGTGTCAAAATAAATGTATTTTCTTTCTTTCTTTATGTTATGTGGTTGTCGTCATCACCATTTAAATACAAAACCTTATTTCTATTGAACCTGTGCGAACTATAAAGCATAGTATATTACTATGAAATACCAAGTACCGTAAAAGACACGTGTGCGAAGGCAGTAAGTGTCCACTTTTCATCGGGCACTTGTTTTAGAGTGAGACTTTGTCAAAAGGAAGCCATCACCCACCGACAAAGAGTGAAAGAAGTCAATTCAATTAAGTAAATCCTTTAATAAGCAAATAAGCAGAAGTGAGAGCGACGCGGATCAAAGACATCGTGCGTCCTCCCTGTAGTCGTAGCTAACTGGCATCTGTGCTCCGTCCCCCTGTATTAATACACTACTCCATTTATGTCGCATTTCTTTCATACAAGTAAAAGAGCAAGATGAATAGATGAATGAAATGCAGCGCAGAACCAATTGAAGTCTTTACTATTACGCTACGTTTTCGTTTTTACTATAGTAAATACTTCAATACAATAACAAGCGAAGACTATTAAAGTTATAACTTATATAACTAAAAACTATTAAAATGACTTCAATAGTCTGCGCTTGTTATTGTAACTGTCAAATTATGACCTCATTTTGACTATCATTAAATGATACAAACCATTTTTTACCTAACTAAAACTTTTTTTACTATGCTTTTATTAATTAAGATGAATAATGTAATTTTTAAAAATCATGTCTGCTCATATATTACATGTTGTGGTCGCCATAAATAGAATGTACACTGTTTCTTGTTTTGTGAAATTGTATTAGATGTTAATTATTCTTTGTATCATTCACTGGTGATCCATAATAAATAAATAAAAAGCGAAACTTTGAATGTGTCGCTGAGGACGAACAAAATAAATTGTAGCGATGTAATAAATTTGATTTTAAAAGCCATAACAGTTCTGCATAAATAAAGTAGTAATGTTATAGTTAGCAAGTGCATCGATCACGGATTCACGGGTGTACCCCTGTACCTACGTCATCGAATGAAGAGGGCACTCACGGCAGACGGCGGATTACCATGCTATCAGTGATAACGTATCACTATCTATAGATATCATCACATAGATGTAGGAGATAGGTCGTTTCAATATGGAGATCGATCAGTTAAGAAAATAATAAATAGGCTAGGTAGGTACTTACATGTCAAGTTTCTGGCGGAAATACTTACCCCAAAATTAGGCCGCTGTCGCATAAATTACTTCAGGGAGTTAATAAGGAAACAGTATTTTTCTTTTAAAGTCATCATTTCAATTTAATCGAAATAAAAGAGATAGCTAAAAGGGACCATCTAAGTTTTTTTCATACAAATTTCAAATTGGTATAAAAATGCATGTTACTGGTCACAATTAGTCACACTTTACAGTTTTTCTTTCTTTCTTCACACTTTTGGTTAAGTAATCCACATAAGTGAAATGTATTCTTACATAATATACAGAGGTATCATCATTTAAGCAAAAGTATGTTTGTCGTGCAATAAGTATTTTTCACACTTATTTTTGGTAAGTATAAGTGCCACTCTCCATCAATGTTTCTTCAGAAATTTTGTCGAAAATCTCCTTTTCCTAATTTGGTTGGCGTCTATCGCTTTAGATTCTGATGCATCTTCATTAAGGTTACGCTTGGGAGGGCCATACTCTCGGAATCCAACGAAGGCTCGGTCAACACCTTCAGATTCATTTGAGCTCACATTTGTCTCTTCAACTACATCTTCCAGCACACTTTCCTTGGAAGATTCACTGGCGACTTTCAGTATCACCAATTCATCAGATACAACCGCATCGTTAGCAAAATTCTGCTCTGTGACCTGAATCGTTTCCAACTCTTCGTTTGGTGTCGCAACATCAGCGGAAACTTCAATATCCGACGAAGTATTTTCGAAGCTCCCCTCGGTGATGTTTTCTGCCACTACCGCAGGAGTGACTTCTATAATCACTTCGGCATCATCAGTTTTGACAACGATATCGGCAGTGTCTGTTTCAGTGGATCTTACTTCCGGAATTTCAGCAATATCTACAGTTTCGCTAACACTTTCAGTCTCAAAACAGTTGTGTTCTTCACCGAGATCTTCATTTTCGGCAGCGAAAGCTTTCTCCGTGTATAGGTCGGGTAGCGCTTGTTTGGTTATAGATTGAAATATGTCTTGAGGAGCTGGAGGTCCGTATTCTCTGAGCTCTTCAGTGCCAACCGCTTCAGTTTCTTCGTTACTTTCCTGTTGAACTTCTGTCTTCTCAACTTCCGAGGGTAGTAAAAAAGCTGCTCCTTTAGGTCTCCAACCGCTCGGTAAATATGGACCGGAGCCGAGCGAATAACCTGTGCTAATGATAGCCAGAATAAATACTACACACGACTTCATAGCTGAAGTATTGTTAACCTATGAATGAACTACACAGAATGATGTCTGGTAAACGGTACCCCGTCTTTATATCAAGATGTTCAGTGGAACCAAGTCAAACACTCCAAGGCTTGTAAATAGGCAAATATTTGCAGGAGTATCGATTAATTATTGGATCGATTGAGTAATGCTAATGCGATATCAGTGTTCATTGGATCAAGGTCAAGGCAACCGACGTGTGCAAGTTCATTGTAAAGTAAAACTTAGATTCATCTTATGTGTAGTGTGTTATGTGATACTTTATGGAGCTTGACGGCGCAATGGTTAGCGCTTTTGCTTTGTTTGCAGAGGTTAGAGACTTCCGCTAAGGCCGACCTTTGAGTGGGTGAGCAAACTTGATTGTCTAGGGGGAAAATTCAGCCGTGTTGGTAACATCCTTATTTTCGCCTCAAAAATTAGACATAGGTCAAATAGAAAGAATTAGAGATGGTATTCTATCTCTCTCACTCCTCGAAAGGTCTCGGTATAGGTTCATGTAACAACCACTTCGCTCGTATCGGCGATCTAAGGACTGACTGCAGTGAACAATTTTTTGTTTCGGTTAGTGAAACTGTGAGTTTTAAGGTAAGATACACTTGTTATTTGTTTATTATCGTTTCACTGTACCAATGATTATATGTTTTGAGTATGATATAAGTTTAATTAGGAAAATTTTCACATATATTACAACTTCATATAAGCAAAATTGTCGTGCGTGGTATAGGTTAAATTCAAAATGGCGGTTGTGTACACAGTGGCTCATGATCCACTGTGTACTAACTGTTAATAATTGATATCCATACTTTAATTAACATCCTAGAAAATTATTAAAATTTTCGGTACATTTCTTTTACAGCATGGCTCGTCCGGCAAGGCCCCGTAAAATCGGAAAACATACAGCTGATGACATGAAAACAGCCTTCAAAAATATAAAAAATGGTATGAGTGTGAGAAAAGCGTCAAAACTACAACACAAATATTACGTTGGTAAAGTGTAAGTGTCGCCGCACACGGGCCACACGCCACAGCCACAAACGCCGCCACGAGAAGCTAGAAGCGGCTACTAAAGTGGCTGAAGCGCGCGACAGCGGCCGACTAAGGTAAGGAAGAGGGGTGGGCAATCACGCGAGTGACGTGTGACGGCGTTTTGTATCGGCGCATTAAGTGGCCGGTGCGGGCCACAAGAAGCGAGCAACATGTAGCGTGTGGCGGCCCCCGGCGGCGTACCCGTGTGTGGCGAGTCCATATAAAATGTATGAAAACTACAAAAAATATGCCGGTGGCGGCGTTTTGTAGTTATGGTCAGTGGCCCGTGTGCGGCAACACTAAGATAGTCGTAATAAAAAATTAGAATATTGCATTAGTTTTCTGCGTCAAAAATCTATAAATATATTTCACAATCCTAACGAGCCAGATATTTCATATGTCAAAGAACATGACATCAAACTGATATTACCGAAACCTGCTTTCTCTGGAAGCACATCGAGACAGCAATCACATTTATCTTTTGCTACAGATCTATCACTTCTCAATATTCGCTGAACCACGGAGCTGAAAAAAATATCCGTGCGCATAACATTGTTTTTTCTTTTCATGTTGTTTTATAAATCTTATTTTATTTCAATATTTTTGCAACATACTGAACTAGTATTTGCTACCTCCTTAGTTTATGTTACAGTTACCAATTCATTATTTGATAATAAAAAGTCAAATTGTAATCCAAAAGATTTCACTTGAAAGACTGAAAGTCGCTTTATATTAGATACTTATCAGATAATAATTTACAATAAAAAAAAACCATCGTTTCGGAAACGTTTGACATTTTTGTATTGCCGACGAGACTGAAATAGTCATTTATGTTTGTACCAAATTATTAGTTTAGACTAAAAACAGTCATTAATGAAGCGTTTTTTATTTTCTGAAATTAATAAATAAAAACTTGTGGCGTTTCCGAACGCCACGATATTTTCGTTATGTTGGCAACCACGCCGCAATGATCGGGTGGTTGGCAATAGAACGCCACAGCGATCTCTTGCTCAGGCGCGACTCTTCGGTACAGACGTGTCGCGTAGTAACTATTCATACTATGTACCTAGAGTACGAAACTCAATCTTGTATTGTGAATGTGCATACATTAAATATATTCTACGAAGTTCTGTGTTTCGTTTCTTCGCGCCTGTGTTCCTCAAGAAAAGGGAAGGCCGCCTCCGCCGGCAGTCATTCCCATATTGGTGACCCCGATAGAAAACCGAACGCGTTTTTCATCATCGCAACACGCCGCCATTTTTGCTTCGACGCGCACCGCGACGAACGCCGATAGACAATTACGCCACGCTCGCTCGTAGGTACTGCCTATCTATGAACAGCGTCCGCAACTGCAAACAACGCAACGAGACTCTTAACGTTTCCTGCGAGTCGAGCGACTCCAAACGACCCGGTGAACGTGTCACCCGACATCGCGCCGCCCGACCGAATCTATTATCGATTTGTGTATGTGTGTGTGTGTGCGTATGCGCTTCTTCGTAAAGCGATTTCGCGGCGATAACTTGCGCACGCTTCAATCAGTGCAATTCGTGTTTTGGCTACAAATTGTGCTCGTGCATCAACTTTGCTAAGCTTCCATTTCAAAACTATCATCAATCCAAGCTTTCAACTAACGCCCGCTATTTTTTTTTCTTCTTTGCATTACTGCTGTGAAGTGCTGTGACTTATTCGGTTCCACTCACCGCAAATTCCGTGCCGTGACGTACGACATATGAGATAAATAGACCTAAGTGACAGTGCCATTAGTGATTCAAGGAATAGAGCGACCAACAAGGTTTGCAAAACACTAGCAAAACAGGTACCTATAGACTTTTATTTCTTATTTTATGCATCAAGATCATTTAACATTCTACTGCAACTTAATCTATTAATTTACGTTTATTCAACTAATGTTTACTTTACACTTTTCATGGTACTGAGTTAGTTTTCAAACTTAATTAACATATTCAATAGTTAGATTTATATTTTACAAAATCTAATATATTTTTTTAAAAAAAAGACGTAAATTGTTATTTCATAAGCTTATAATATTCTTGCCTAAGCTAATTAAGTTAGATATCATCAAGTAAGCGATTTTTTTTTGTCAGTCACATTTTATTCCAATTTATTTTTGTATAACCGATATACATGCTAGCAATTGTTATTTTAAACAATTTATTATTTACTAAATGTTGCTGTGTATTTTCCATTTTAAACTAATATTGCAACTAAGGCCATTGATTGATTTTTTACACGACTTACCAATATATTTTTAATGAGTAGGTATTTCTTTAGATATCATTTTATCGTCGGTAACGCATTGACCAATGGTGTAGCCTTGTAGTTTTTTTGTGGTGTGCATATTTTTTTTTTTTATTGTTTACTATCTTTTGTAATTTTTAAGTTGTAAATAATTATAAGGTATAAAAAACTTATCAAACTTCCTATTTAAACTTAGGTTATGACAATTTCTATGTAATTTAACCAATACCTACTTGCACATTTAACAAGTATTACATTATTTTTTTTTGAATAACCACTCACTACGGAGAAGGATTTTTTTTTTATTATTGTTTCTTTCCGTTCCTTTTTATATAAATAATTAATAACACAGCAGTGGGTAATAATGGACGAAGACATCAAAATTCTTCAAGCTCGTGTAAACCAACTTGAGCAGCAAAATGCAGCCTTGATGGCCGACGTTGCTGCCCAACACGAAGCTAAACCACTTTGTGTGTCCAAATTATCAGTAAAGCTACCTCCATTCTGGGCAGACCGACCAGCTGTTTGGTTTGTGCAAGCTGAAGCCCAATTCCACCTGGCTGGGATTACCACAGAGCAAACCAAATTTAATCACGTGTTGTCTGTTATCGATCAACGCATCATTGGAGAAGTCGAAGACATTGTACTTAATCCACCTGCTACAGGAGCCTACAAAAACCTCAAGGAGGAACTCATTCGCAGACTTACAGCGTCAGAGGAGCAGCGATTGCACCGTCTCCTTAGTGATGAGGAGCTTGGAGACCGCAAGCCATCCGCATTCCTCAGACACCTTAGGTCCCTTGCTGGCACCTTAACCAAGGATATCAACATACTTCGCCAGCTCTGGTTGCGTCGTCTGCCCAACCACGTACAAGCGATCCTCGCCGCTCAAGCTGACCTCAACTTAGACAAAGTCGCGGAGCTCGCGGACAGAATCATGGAGCTGCCTACTTCTCCTTCCCATCATGTGGCCAGCGTGAATGAACCCTGCTCTACCCTTACTCTCACCTCGCTTGCTGAGTGTGTTGACCGGCTTTCGAAGCAAGTTGCAGCCCTCACTTCTAGTAACAGGCAGCGGGGCCGGTTCAGGGGCCGCAGTTTTTCTCCGAACTGGAGGGCCCGCAGTTCCACACCAGCCGAAAGCACATCCAGACTATGCTGGTACCACAGCAAGTTTGGTACCGAAGCGATAAAGTGTATTCAACCATGTAATTTTAAATCGGCTCAGGGAAACCTGAACAGCAGCAGTCAGTAAAGGTGGACACAGACTGCTGCTCAATCAACTCCACCGGCCGCCGCCTTTTTGTGACTGATACTACTTCCAAGCGCCAATTTCTCGTCGACACAGGCTCTGATCTGTGTTGTTACCCACACCGTTGGCTACCTAATCAGAGGGTTTCTTGTGACTGGGAGCTCAGTGCCGCAAATGGCAGCACAATCAAGACCTTCGGTCTAATCACCCTTAAATTGGATTTCGGACTGCGAAGGGACTTCACATGGCAGTTCGTGGTTGCGGAAGTAGATTCAGCCATTATTGGATCCGATTTCCTCGCTTATTTCCATCTACTTCCTGACTGCACCAGCAAGCGTTTACTCGATGGAAAGACCGGGCTCTCCTGTGTAGCCGCTGTATCTTCTGTTGACCAGCCAAGCGTCAAAACAGTAATCGGAGAAGACTCGAAATTTAGACATATCCTGTTGGAGTTCCCCAAAATTATGCAGCCCCC